TATATATATATATATTTTTGAAATGATAAAAACTTTTCATGGTAAGCTGAATGAATAATAAAATATCACAAAAGAAGTGGTAAATTTTATAGAATTAATTGATAATTCTATAAACTAATTTACAAAATTAATTGATAAGGAAAGGATGAAAAAAAAAAGAATAAAACATACTGATAAATCTATTTCGACATCAATCAATACAATGTTGAGATGCCCTATTTTTCTAGAAATGATAGGTGAAAGAAATTTAGTTGAACTCGCATTTGCAAAAAATAGTGAAGTGTAATAGGCTAATTTTAAAAAAGTGTAAAATCATAAATGAAAAATTATTTATAAATAAGCGCTGGAAGTGCTTTCATTGTTTTCTAGAAATTCCGAATCATATGAACCAATATCACAATCCGGTGGCATCACAATACCCAATATTCGACCCTGATCATTAACATCGAAATCCTAAAAAGAAAATACTATCAAATAATTTGTGAAATCACTCGAAAAATTCAATCGCATTTATATCATTGATTTCCATTAACATTAAAGTTGTATTATGCATTTTAACGGCCGTAAGAGACGTAGTTAACCTTTTTTTTTTCTTAAGAGTTAAATGTGTAATTTAAAAACTCCTTCAAAAATTTAAAGTCATATTAAAATAATATATAAATTTTGATATAAATCGGATGATATTTATAAACATATGGTGTTAATTAATCACAAATGATCTTATTTTCGTTCTTCTATCAGTATGGATGATATGAAAGATCTGTTATTATTGATCACATGCATTCGTATGGATGACATTTCCTGTTTTTTTTTTACTAAGTTCTTATTTGTTTTACTTTAAACCAGAAAATTTTTTTTTAGAATTTCAAATAAACATAATAAATATTTTGTTTATTTCATTGAATCATTTTTACTGCTAAAAAATAACTTGCATGAAAAAAAAAGTTTTAGAAATTATTGCAGGCATAGGGCAAAATAATCAACATTTTTTGGTGTAAAAAAATTTAAAGAAAAAAGAAAAGAAAAAAAAAACTAATCACTTGTAGATACAATGTTTTCTTCGTTTCTATTTCCCATATTACAATCTTCTCACCCACTTTGTTAGCAGTGAATTTTTTCGGAATAACACGAATTTCGAAATCTTTGATTAAATCCCAATGCTCATTAATTAGCATATTGTAAAATGATAATGGCCGACTACATTTTCGTTTCCAAATTATCTGTACAAAAACACAAAAATGAGAAATAATTTATATTCTCATTATTTCAATACAAAATAACATATCTTTTTTTTCTTCTTTCAAAAAATATTTTACCTGAAGTGATTTCGATATCCTACTTGAAAAACTGGTAATAAAATTTAAAATGCCAATATCTAGCTTATCCTCTTCACAGTTTATGAGTGATAACTTCCGTAAACGTGGAGCCATCTGAAAATAAATAAATGATTACAAATTATGAAAATACCTTACCTTACCATTTTACCTTTTCCATTTACACATTTTTTTCAATGGAAAATTAAGAGAATAATTCGCTATATCCAATCGTTTAATAATTCAAAACAATTTGCAAATAGATCAAATGAATGTTCAATTAAATCAATGAATTATTGCATATTAAATACTGCAAAATTGTCACTGATCATTTTTTTATTTTAGAGAATATTGAATATTGCGGATGCATATTCCCTCAGATCATTACAATTACATCTTCAAATAGAATGATATGCTTTCTGAAATAAGGCAATTTAATTTAGAATCATTCCAAATCATAAAATGATAAGATTCTCGAATCAAATATCTCTACTGATGTTATTAAATCATCTATATCATTAATCTGACATTTGCACTACTTTTTCGAGAAAAATCATATTTTTATTCAAGCAAAGAAATGGCTGAAGAATTTTAAATCACAATAAAATCAAATCATTAATTTCTTTTTAAATCACAATAATATCAAATCATTAATTTCTTTATTTTTCTAATTTTATATCATATAAGGAATGGATAGCATCAAAATTCATCAAATCTTGTATGATTTGAAGCGTTGTTATTAACTACACATCGAAATTTAAATAATTTACTTCATTTTTCTTCTCTCTCTTTCTCTTTCGTTTTCATTGACAACTGTAAAGCTCTTAAGTACTAGGACTTGAAGTTAAATCCTAAAATTATCTTAAAATAGTACTTTTCTAATGAGCATAAAAAAAACTGCTTACCATGGAGAGATGGAGAAGAATCGGCGGAGTAATAGCTGATATTTGAATAAATTTAACATCTGTTAAACGTGGTAAAGGATGTGTTAGTAACAAATTTCGTAGAAGTGCTTCATCGGTAAGAAATGATGCTTCAAATCGTCCCAAAACAGTACCAAATGATGGAGGAGGTAATTTCATGGAATTTAACACTTCTTCTCTCCGTCTAAAATACCGAGAATTATTATCTCAAATAAAATGAGAAATTAAATAAACCATATATAAGTGCTAACAAGTTTGAAACAAAAAAAAAAATTGATATTAACAATAGCAAATTTGATAAATGAGGAACAAAGATGAAAGAATTCAAAAATTTTTTCTACATGAAATTAAAAATCTATCATATCCTATCCGGAATTATTATCATTTTTTATTCTTTCAGCATATTTTATCAACAATAAATAATAGCTACCATTTCTTCATAATATTATGCTGATTTTATTAATCATCTATCCATTACAATCGTTGTACGGTACTTATTTAATGCTTATTTTTTCAGGAATTGTTATAGTTTGTCAAGAATTGTTATTTTTTTCCATATCAATGCCGATAGTACTGGATGTAACCTTTATACGATTAGTTTATGAAATGCCTAATCTAAATTTATTTCATTAATCATATTTCTCTCATTAATTATAAAATGTTCAATTTAAATTTATTCCATCAGTCATACTTCCTTTCTTTTCACTGTTTTTTTTTCCTTTTTAAATTTGTTAAACACTAATAACTTCATGTAAAAAATATAATAAAATTGGAATTATAATAAATTTTTTTTTCTAAAAATGATCATTTTCATTGTTCAGTTGTGATTAAGGGTTCAGTTCACTTACTATAAATGTTATGATTAATAACCACAAAGCATACCATAACAAATAGTGATAATCTCTGATAAGCAGTGGCTTATAAAATAATAATTGATCAGTATCATTATTAATCAGTTGAAAGAACAGAAATGGAGAGAGAGTGAAAGTGAGTGAATGAATAAATGAGAGAAAAAAATAGTCATTTTAAATTTAATTCAGTTCAAATAATTAATAACATTTAAAGATTAAATATGGGAAAATATTGAAATTTAAAAATTATATGTTTACTCAGTTCTTGTATCCTTTTGTAGTATTCCAAAATGTAGCGTTAATTTTCTTGCAGCTATTAACGATGATAAATCGTAAATTCGTTCGTAATTAGTTTCTTCGCTGATTACATTTAATGATACTACCCGCATCGTTGAACTAAATGTCAAAAATTATAAATAATTTCTCTTAAATATGTTTTTTTTAAGAAAAATAACTTTTTTTCTATGTTTTCGTCTTTAATTTAGAAAAAAAATTTCAACTTATTCTTTTGTTTTATTTAAACTATTTGACTAATTGAAAAAATGCAATTAAAAATATCGTTTATATCATAAAATTTACTCTTAGCTCAAATAAAAAAGAAATAAAAAACTATATTCCTAACAGATTTCAAATAATGCAAAATATAACTGAAAAAAATATCAGGAAATCACGGAAAATTTTAAACACATAAAAATCCTTTAAAATGACTACAATTATAGGACCTCTAATATAAATTACAGCTGATATAAATTTTATAGCTAATATAAATTTTCGAATAAGCCAGCAAAAAAAAAAAAAGAAAAGTAACCCCGTCAATGAGATGATTCGTCGGATAACGAAGCCAAGATCAGTATAACACAAATCTAATTTAATCATTTGAAGTGAATTAAGTTTGATGTCAAGTTCGGACACACGTTCTGCCGTATCGTTTCGCAGTTCACGTTCATCGTCCTCATTATCCGACGATCTAATTACAACAGTTTGCCGATGCGAATCGATTTTGCAATATCGAAATATCTACAAATAATATTTAAGCTCACGATTAATATTTCTTTTTTTTCTTTTATTTCTTCTTTTTTAGTGTTTCCAAGAAAAATTCTTTAGAATTTCCATTTTGAAAGAAATTTTATTTAACCCAGAGAAAAATTTAAAAAAAAGACACTGTACTAGAAATTGACAATTTGGAAAATGAAAAAAGAAATTGACTAGTTTAGAGATTTTTCCAATAGTTATTTCTGTTAAAAGCCTTAAAAAACTTTTGCAAAAAAAACTGCAATTTAAATATTTCAATTTAATAATCTCCGACTTAATTTAGTTTTTAATCAAATTCAATTCAATCCAATTTCATTTGTCATTGATAAATTCTTCTTCAACTGACTAAAATTTCCACTCAGCTTGTTACGAAAAACCTTAATCTTAACATAATTATTACTTTATACATCAGAATGATATGACAAACATTTATGTGATATATCTTCAACCAATATTTGAGAATAACTGCGACTTGAAATGGGAAAATAACATTTTAATGACTGAGAAAAAGAGCAAATAAAAAAATAAATACATTTAAAGAAAAGAGACGAAATAAAATTTTCAATATTATTTTAGAATAAATCCATTCAAATAATTAATTCGGACTTTTTTAAGAGAAATGCAATCCGTTTGCTTTTTTTTTTGTTGAAAACTATGAATGCACATTTCATTCTGATACATTTCTGCTATTCATTTCAGGCAGTTGATATAAGGACTAAATTTTTAGAAATTTTTTAAATCTCAAAAAGATTTAATTTTTTGATTAAAATATCATACAATTCAAAAGTCAACCTTCCATATCTTCAATGCAAGCATATCACCTTTTTTTTCGCTATCATATTTTCAAATCTACTCCTCGTCCATTTTACAATAATTAAAATATGATAATAATTGTTGTATTCATTTACCTAAGATTCAAGAATATGCTGTTTGTGTTCAATTTTAATCAGCATTCTCACTTGCATAATGAAATATCATCAGAGATGGATTGTAAAATTTATGAATTCTTTTTTTTTCTATTCTTTTTAAACAAAATTTTATAACTTTTCCAAATTTATTGCTAAAAAAACACCCACATAAAACATCACTTACTTATTTTGTTTATACAAAAGTATTGATTTAATAACAGATGGCTAAATGATATTTTGAAATATGTTAAAAAAGACAGATAATCGAAAGTTTCACCTCTTTCAAAAAGCGCACATATAAACAATCTTTTAATTAAATTTAATTTCTGAAACGTGAAAGTTACTACTTAATTTTACATTGACAATCTGCCATGGATATTGTTAATTCAAAACTGCTGAAGCATAAAGAATAAAAGTAAAATTGATTGCATCCTTTCCTATTTAATCCCTGAGATATTCGAAATATTTTGTACATATACATACCCGCATTTCTCGACGACAATTTATGCTTTATAAATATTAATTCGAAACTGATGAAGTGCAAATAAAGAAATAACAAAGGAGAATCATTAAATAAAGTAATCCATTTAAATTTTAAAACGATTACAGCAGAATAAAATCTCATTTATTTTTTCTGAAATTTTAAAACCAATTCAGTAGAATATAAATTGACCATTCTATTTGGCATAAATCATACCACATTTAACTTCACATGTAAATCATAACAATCATACCTGACTTGTTCTGATAATTATATCTAATTTGATATAAATTACGACAATCTTCCTTCATTTGGTATAAATTATGATAGTCGTAATTAACTTGACACTAATTATAATGTTTGTATAAGTTATTATAAATTTAATTTATCCTCTAAATCATAATATACCTCAAATGGTAAAAGAGAAGAAAGAAAAGCGATGGTGCATCATGAAATTTTATAAGGAATTTACACGTAAGGAAGTAACTTATGTTATTACCTTAAATAATCTCTATTAACCATACAATCTTTTCTAAACTAAAAAAAAAAATTCACTATGCTATAAGAAATATTTAATAATATTCATCGTTGATAAGAAGAAAAAAAAAACTCAAAAGATGTTTATATCATGATAATTATTTATGAAATAATCACTTTTACAATATTTTTTCAGAATTGTAATCTCTATTAAATAATCTATCAGATTGTGATGAGAATTCTAACAGGCACCGATATTTTATATTCCAGGAAACGTTTTATATTAATTAATTTTTAATGAGGAAACTTATCAACTCATATAAAATACGTTACCATATTTGTAACTAAAATTATCATGAAAAAACTGATTATGTTTTCTGCTATTTGTATAAAAATATCTTAATAAATCGAATATAAATGTTTGAAATGAAAAATATAATTTTATCACAAATTATAATTTTAATTGTTATAAAGATGAAAAAAAAATACTAATTAGATTCCAATGAAATTTCTCTTCGCTCCAATAAAAAACTTACAAGGTATTGTAATTTGGGTAAATTTTCCGAACTGATCACTTGAAGAAATGAATCGAATTCATGCGTATCCAAAAATTCCGCATGTCCTAACATCAAATATTCCAAATTCACCAAATACCTTAGTTTTGGCATTATACGCAAAAATTTGCCACTCCTATTGAGCCATTCTAATGTTGTAAGACTTTCGGGTAGAAAAACATCGGGTTCTGCAAGAAATAATTTTACACAAAAAGCACAGATAAATACTTCGATCGATTAATTTTATGCTAAATAAGCATTGCAGTCTCTATCAATAAATATCAAATCAACTATTTCCGTAGTAATAAAGCAATGACAAAAACGTATATAAATATATAAATGATGAAATTTTGTTAATTCGCCTACTCGTTTATTTAATATTATAAATTAATAAAATTCAACATGACGCTCACTGATATTAAATCCATCTAACATAAGAGTGTCCATCTTGGTAAATTTCGGAAATGAATACATGTCCAATCCAGACCAGAAAAATTCTTGACCATGTGGTCGCATTGTCATACCCGTAAGGTCAGGGAATGAACTAAAGGCCTGTTCCAAAGCTTTTTCCTAAAAGAAATATACTTTCAACTTACATCAATCATTTACAATTTTTAGATTGACAATCTTGGAAAAAAATAAAAGTGAATTAAAAATAAATGCATAAATTTTCATAATGCTTTAAGTTTCAAAAGTAATGTTTTCAATTCTATCACAAAGTAAATCAGTAATTGGTAAAAATTGAATTTAATAAATAATCAAGCATTTGCGACTTACAGTATTGTATGGATAGAGATCCAAACACCTCATGCGAATTTTAGCTTGTTTCAGTTTTCCTGCAACACGCATCATTGTCAATGATCATTGTATCCTGAGATTTCAAAGTTGAAAATTAAAAAAGAAAAGTGTAAAAAAGTTGAAATTTGGAAAGAAGATAGCAGAGCTATCACTATACTTGATATTTGATGGATTATTATTACAACTTTTCAAACCTTCTCTTTCAAAAAACAGTCAAGGTATAAAAGCATTAAATATGACTAAATAAAAATAGGAAAACTAAAAAATACAAAAAATAAATGGCAATTTTATAATTTTCGTAACTGATCAGAAATTTGCAATTATTCGAATCTCGCCTAATTTTAAAACAAACGATACAATGTTAGCTTTAATATAAAACTATTCACAAACCACAAGATGTTTTGCTAAATTTCTCTGTTGATTAAATAAATTATCAAAATTAATTTAGGATTTTTTATAAAATTTATAATAATGATAAGAATAAAAAAGATTTTTCAAATGATAATATTACAACATTAATAGTTACTGAAAATTTTCCATATATAGCTCAATTAATGAACGATGAAGAAGGTACTAAGTGAAAACTAAATTTTATAAATATTGAAGAATGCAAGTACATCAATAATCTAATAAGCAGTTAGCATAAGATGAAAAAAATAAAAGGATGATAAAAAATAAAATTTACTTAATACTTTGCCAGCAAAAGTAGCATCAGCAAACCATATTTTGACGCTACTAATTATTCGACAGTGCTTTAGGGCGATTAGCAAATAATCATCCTTATCGATGTGATAACATTTTAATCTACAAAGAATTCGTTTGATCATATAACGAGTGGTAACACAGTAGAAAAAATAATACTTTCTTCTAAAAACTAAGATAATTTATGAATTCATAAAATTTTCACTGCCATATTTGCAACTGAAGAAATGTCGATTATTTTTTTTTATCAGCAATTAAATTTGAAGCAACGGCGATTAATACTTGAACGATTTTTGTTTCCGAAAGAATACAATTTTCTACTTGTCAATCTATTAACTGCAAGTGACGTATAATTCAAGTTTAATGTGAAAGAATTTATTGTTTCGAAGGAAAAGTAATGGATGAAGTGGGAATTTAAAATAATTCAAAATTACAAAACCTAATGTTAACAATGTTAGTTAAAGTTTATTGATTATCTACAACTTGGAGTTCAGTCCTAGTAGTACAATTAAATGGGGCAAAAATGCGGACAGCCAAAACTATAAAAGTTATCAACTAAATAAAATTTGTTAGAAACCGTTACCCAATATTTTTGTTGCTACTAATTTTATCCTTGTATATTTGATTTTGAAAAATATTAAGCACTGTTACATCTTCCATCGGAAACCTGCAAGTCAATAAATAGTGCCACCGTTTGCATACCTGAAATTGATCCAAACATACTTCAAGTTTATTATGCAACTGAGTCTCTAAATCTAATGCTTAATAAAAGAGATTTAAAATTGTTTATAAATCCAACAATAGATTGAAAAACTTGAAGAATTTTTAAGCTTTTGCAAACAGTTAGAAACATGCAACTTCTGTAAATAAGTAAAAGTATGCTATAAAATGTACTCTGCCAAAAAAATACTGTTTGAAGTAAAACAATTTCATTAAGAAATCATTAGGGAGCTCTGATAATCATTTATTTTTTTTTACTTTGCTTACTAATCTCAACTTTATACTTGAGTAATTCGATTTTTGTCACGAGTTTGATGCTATCAAACAAATGATAGACATGATAGCTTCTGAAAATGGAATAAATATTAATAGAATTAATTACCCTAAATGCTATAGAATTAAATCAACAGTAAGTCAAGAAAATTATCGGCACTTTACTTTTAACTATACAAATACTTAATTTTCAATTAACGATGAAGATGATAAATGATCATGTTACTAATGCTAATCTGTTTTTTTTTTTTCATCTCGAACTGAATTTTTAATCACGTGTATAGGACAACCTCATGCAAATGAACATAATTCAGCAAAACTAGTATACCTGAGATGCTATACAACGATCTCGAAGATTGAAAGACTCAAAAATGCATTGCATTACTAAATCTGGCATATTACCCAATGTAATTTCATCAGTACTGTCCGGTTCATCGTAATTCAAATATGAAAGCTCATTTAAATGTAGTGAATCCCATCTTATTTGCGTACATATATCCTGTAAAAACGAAAACATATTTTATATTTTTCATTCAAAATCATTTAAATATTTACAACAATTATTTAAATATCTAATTCAAAAGAGAATTTTTTCAAAAATCAAATTCACTTTCCACTTGTAAACTTCTCATTGTAAATATAATATTGATACTTCATGATTTTGTATAAGCTTATAATACAAAGTAATTCATTTTTCCTCTACAATTTCTTCATTTGTTTATGTCTTTTCTCACATCTATTTAGTATAATCTTAAAAGAAGCTATGATGTTTGGCTAATTTTACAATTGTATTTTACAATTGGTTAATTCTACAATTGTATTCTACAATTCTAGAATTGTTTAATACTATTACTCAAAAGTAGCATATCTTCGATCAAATAATTCTGATAGTTGAACGAAAAAATACGTTTATTTCGGCATTATCAATAAAGAAATATGAAATTTGCGTAAATTTATGCAATATTATCAAAATTCATTTTTGAAATGAAAATAATAATGCATACCTTATCAATAGGATCACCTTTATCGAGTTTTGATGAATTATCATTTGTTGTTAACAATGATGGTGAGCATATTGAAATTGATTCTCCTCTTAAAGTACCATCATCTACCAAATCCATATCATTAGACATATAAATAATCTTTCAAATACCAAACCTAAATTATTATTTTAAAATCATTATTTCGAATTTTTCTCTCTTTTCATTTGAAAATTCTTGAAAGATTGTTATCCTTCAACGTAACAGCTCGCTCGAACTGATGATGATGATGATAATGATAATGAATTAAGCCAAAGAAATATTATGGAATCGTTATGTTTGTTAATATTTTTCGCTTTTAATTGAACATATTAATATATAATTATAAAATGATAAAATTACACAAAATTTAAAATAAAAAGCAGTTAGCAATCTATCCTGTCTTATTTTTGCAACTGTTTAAAAATTTTATTTCAGAATTTAAAGACTGAAATTTCATCAGTTCAGTGGTTAGTTATATTGCCAATAATTTCTGAATACAACAAATAAACGAATGAACATTTCTTTTGGCTTGTTTTTTTTTTTTTTTTTGAGATGACATATTTACTTGAATATATACTTAACTGAATTGGAAAAGAAATCAAATCTATTGATACAAAAGTAAAAGAAAAGAGAATAACAAATATAAACATCGGCCCAATTAATTCTGATAATTAGTTCTGGTGGTAATTAAGTGAGAAACAAAAGACAATTTTGTAAACATACAATAAAAATGAGTAAACAGATCAGTTATTAAATAATGAAAGTAAACAAAAAGAATTAACTGGACCATTGCTTGTATAGAAAGCAAGTAATGGGCTGTAAACAATTTTTTAAATCACATAAAAATCAATAATAGTTGCGAAAAATTTTGCACTAACACTTTTTTTCCCGTCTTTCTAAAAGAACAAGCAACCAAAAATCATCTCATCACACTTTATGCTTTCCAAAAACATTAAAAATGAACAAGAGACAAAAAAAGGTAAAACTTCAAATTGTACTTTCTGACAAATTTAGTAATTAACAAATATGTACAATTTGACAAATAGCATTAATGAATATATTTATTACATTCCAAAATGTTACTTGGAACGTTACCATATCACTGAACAAACAAAGCAACAGTAACAATATCAAATAACAATAGCAATGACAACAATAACGGTAACGATAACAACAATAATAGCAACAACAACAACAACGGTAGCGATAACAACAATAATAGCAACAACAACAATAACAACAACAACAGCAGCAGTAGCAATAATGATAACAATAACAGTAACGGTAACAATAACAATAACAGTTAGCAATAGGAGCAACAAAAATAATAAAACAATAACGACGACGAAATGCCGATATTCTAAAAAAAACGATGAGAAAAGTTTTGATTCAATAAAATTAAAACATTTTACCATAATACTTTAAAAATTTTACCATGATCAACTTTAAAAACATTTACTGACTATGGAAATATTATAAAAGTTTTTTTTAATCAATTTAATTTCAAAACAAATTGCCTTTAATTTTATTTTTCCTTAACAACTTTTCGAACAAATAAATTTTGTACAGATAAATTTCATACAAAAAACACTTATCACTTTCAAAAAATTTTTTAATTGATAATTTATGATTTTTCAAGTTTACATACATCCCCTCTTTTTCTCGAACTTATAAAAATTTTCCAATCGACGATTCCTTACGGAATTAATCGGAAGGAACAAAATTTTTACAATTTCGCACAAATAATAATAAATATGATAAAATGAGCGATACCATTTCAAACATTGTAAAATTTAAAACAATTTAGATTGTAACGAGCTTCTACTCTAAATATCATCTAAACTAGCTAATCAAATTTCAGTCACTCTTAACTGATTTAATCCTCCTATCATTTACACTGCCAGAAAATGATAAAGCATTTTCTACTTTCTGATATTTTATAAAAAAAGAAAAGGAAATTATGCATGCTTTAATCTTCCGGATTTTTGCCTTTTTCCGGTGAACATGGTTTTCCGGAGGAAAAAGAAATAGAATTGATATCGATCGTTGTATCATTTATACAACTTTCTCGCACATTACTTTTTCCCTTTTCCGCATCATTAAAATTTTTCTTTCTGCTCTAATCGTTTTCTTCTAAAAGATTTGAAGAATTTTCTGAAGAAGCTACCAATTGCTCAGTGAAGGTTTGCACTGTTATCAACAATCATTTAATAATTTACATAATTTCTATATTTCTATATTACCACAACTGTAATGGTATGTAAAACGAATGTTAGCAAAATTAGATTAAATCTTATTTGAAATTCGGGAACTGTCATTCTATGATCAATTTGTTGAGGTATAAATGAAAAAATGATTTCATGTTATCTCGAAATCAGGAAAACAACAAGTGAACAGCAATCGACATAATTTACATCAAAAAACGATTCATAAAATGTGTTGATATTTGATAATTTTCATCAAACATCTTAATTTTTTTTTTTTTCATCCTAATTATATGATGAAAACGTTATAACAAAAAAATTAAAGTACGACAACTGAACACCGATTAACAAAACGGATAACTTTCCCGTTAGCTAATTGATAAAAGAAATCTGTTTATATATAATTACGAATGAAATGAAGAATGAATTCGTCTCAAAATGCATTGAATTTACGAGTGAAGCCAGTTTATGAAAGTAATATCTTTTAAACTATTAACAATCAATAATGGATATTTAGATCCGTTGTAAAAAATTTCTAAAAATTCAACTTTTCCTACTTCTAGCATAAATTTTTCGATCAAAAAATTACTTCATTCACCTCACTGCGTTAAATATTTGAAACGAAAAAAAAAAAAAGAGAATCAATTTTTTTTAAAGAATCAATATCAAAAAAACGAGGAATTATTTGAGAATGTATACTTGCAAAAAATTTTTTCCTATCTTTTTTGTAATTAACTTCCACCAAGAATTTCCTCATTGTAATGCTAAAATTATGAGAAGAAAATTTCTTCTTGTAATATCCCATATTATATTTGCATACTTACGTATATAAATATGCATGAAACAAAAAAAAGAACACTAGAAGATAATTAGAAAATAGTTATTAAAATTTTAAAAACCATCCTATTCAATCTTTCTCTATCTATTCTCGACTTTCAACCAATATTTATTCGAGAGTAGAAAGAAATAGGAGAACGAAAAATGAACTATTACTAATACTAGCAAAGAGAAATGAAGAAAGACTCCTCTTTTTCAATTTCATTCAATTTTATCATCATTGAGGAGAGGAAAAGAAAGAGAGAGAGGGAGAGACAGAGGGAATATCCCTATCGATTAATGTTGCTGTCGTTATTAATTGTTGTTGTCGCCGTTTGTTGTTACTGCCATTTCAATATGATTTGTCACCAATGACATATTATTATTATTGTTGTTGTTGTCGTTGTTGTTAATATTGTTGTTAATGTTGTCACTTGGATGACAACAACAACAATAAGAACACTTTACATACACATACACAAATCAATTAATAATAATATATTACCACTGCAATATAATCTTAAAAGGTAATCAAATATTAAGCAACTCCCGTCTTCAATAATCGGTGGCTCCCTTTCATGCTTGAAATTGTACGACATGTCGGATAAATGATTGTATTAAATAAAATTTAAAACAACATAATACTCATCTTCCCCTCCCCCTGGTTATCTCCGTTTAATGACACATTTCGATTATCAATCGGTTAAAGTATAAATAATTTAGAAAGCATATGAAGTTAAAGCATAACAAGCAAACGCTATAATCAAACAATGCTTATAGGAAATCTATTTCTATTCACTTTAAATATTCCGATTTATTTCTAGAATTATCCCGCTATAATATTTGTATTCATTTTTTTTTTTACCAACCACATATTCTTTTCTTGCATCACTATAAAATGTTAGAGAAAATCTTTTTTTTTTAAAATTATCAACCTTTATTATTTGTCATTCTTACATCGTTACAAAATGTTAGATAATTATGGAATGAGTCATTAAAAAGAGTATAGTTAAATGCCAAGATATGTCTAATATTTTTGTGATTCTAAATATTTGTCGCCAAGTAGGAAAAAAGTACGCCTGTACTCTCTCTCTCCCTCTCTCTCGCTTTGTTACTAAAGTATACTCCTACGAATCTTATAAAACAATTAACGCTTCAAATTTTATTCCATAATGATAAAAATAATACGAGATAGAAAAAATCAATATAGTGCTGCATCTTTTTAACATATACAAGTAACGACTTAATTCCGCCAAAATTTCCAATTTAAACAATGAGGAAATATAGAATGCTTAGATTAAGCCATTTCTTGTAAAGGGTTAATTGATTTACATTATATAAAGCTCAGTATATCAAACTCAGTATTCTCCTACGGAATTTTCAGAAAACTTAAATTGCTGAAAAAATTATAGTCCTCAAAAAGTCAAACGAAACCCATAAAGAACAACTTAAATCGATAAGAAATATTCACAATGAAGTGCCAAAGAATTTGAAAAATACAATAAAACAATTGCAATCTTTTTAGTATTTTCTGTGGATAAACTGTATAAAATTTAGATTAGTGTAATTCGATTATCTGCAATCATTGCGACATTTTCTGCTGTTAATTGTTCAAAAGCGGCTTCGAATTCTGCGTCACTAAATGGCAGTCGCCCAGCTTGTTCCTAAATATATTCCAACTACGATACACTAACAAATAAGCTAGAAGCAATACTTAAAATTTCCGCAAATCAATATGAAGTAAAAAAAAAAAAAGATTTTATTCAAATTATGAGTACAGAAGAATGAAAATACTAATGAATTGATAACTCAACTTCGGTAACTTAAGTAATTTCAATGACTGTGATATACTCAATTAAAACATGAGTTCAATTAAAAATTAAACATATAAACAGAATCAAAATTTGTTACTAAACAATAGTAAGTTGTTGAAAAACTAACCTGAATGGCATTGCGAATGATGGAAATATCGATCATATCATCTGGATTATCACAGTCATCGAAAGCTTTTCTTAGATATTTACGGAATTTTTTGTACCTAAATATTACGTTCTGCAAAATGTTGGCAACAAGCACCATTGCAAGGCATGAAGAAATGCAATTTTCAAACAGTAAAGCCAATTTTCCGAGAGAAATCAGAAACACTGTGTAAAAAGTCATCTCCTACAATTAAATTTCCATTGTTAACATTTCTCAATTTGCTCAAGATCAAGAAAAGAAATTCCATATAAGCTTTTTAAAATAAGCTAATTGTAAGAAAAAGTGAATAACCGGTCGATGCTAATGGATGGCGTTTCATGACGGGGTCGTTTTGGACTGGGACCACCTAAGTCTGCAGTATCCACTGTTCTATCCATGCTAGATTCACCCATTTGCACTGTAGTTGCCTCTGAATCGGCGAGGACAGATATTTGGGTGTCCTCACCATACCTAAATATCAGGATATCGTGTATTGGATATCTATGAACAATGATGTAAAAGACGAAAGTTATATACAACCGTAAAGTAAAAAAGTAATATACCAAAGTATTAATTATCACTACTACATCAATTATTACACATCACACTAAATGGTAACATCAAATGTGCTTTCATTAACTAAAACATTTGATGAATTAATGCATGAAATAAAACCTTTTCGTTCGACGAAGTGAAGTCTGCGTTTCTGTTCCTTTTATCGAAGTCAAATTCTGAATTAATAGTTTTTTCAGTAATAAATTTTTAATCCAGACGAATCACAAAAATACGTCAAAATCTAAAAGTTAAAAGAATCTCAAGTTAACCTCCAAATCTTCAGTTTCCTCATCTTCTGTTTCCCCACCATCACTTTCTTCATTTACTCCACGTTTCTTTTTACGTTTTTCTTCCATTTCCAATCGTTCTTTTGGCTTTTCTTTGAAACACGCATAATGTAGTAATTGATAAGCTTTCTCTGCATCTGATCGTTCCACATTTTTTGCTAGTCGCGCTTTTGCCATAGCTGTTGATATACGAATCAGAGTCTCCAACTGTCTTACTGTCACCGGCATAGTCTACAAAGGTATCAGCATTAAATGATGGCTGTAAAAATATGCGTAACTTCGGTAAACACCCAATTCACATTCCATTCATTTCAAATTTTGGTTTCGAAGCATAGTTAGCGCCTTATGCTGCACGCCATTTTTGCAAACCAGGTAAAAGAACTACACATTGTTGAAAAGTAGCTTTCCGTGAATAGACATTTGTATCAAAAGTTTCATTAAAATTTAAATATACCCGTTCGCGATCCGTTTTAGATGTATCAAATGAGCGCAGTTCAGCATAGCATTCGCTTATGTAAGCAGAAGCTTCTTCTGTCAGTTTTGGTTTCACAGACTTTGCCATATGAATATACTTCCGTACGAATTGTATCGTGAATAGTTTGTCACTGAAGTTTAAAAATTTGAAAAAATATCTTTTAGACTATACCAATAGCTTTTGAAATTTGAAAAAATATTCTTCTAAACCGCAATTCCTAAAATTCCATGGATTCATTCTTTCCGCTATAGTTTTCTACCAGAGAATCTTTACTATTGTTTATTCTGTATCATCATTCGCCAAATAATAGTCAAAGTTGCGACGATTAAACACAGAACTATCTGAGATCTATGAATTTTCTTTTCAATATTTTACAAACAGTTTTCTCAAAGTTTTCAGTTTTTGATCGAAATAACGTTGTGCCTACAAATTTCAGTTGAAAAGCTTGTCTTAAAAAAATATACCTCGCCTTGCCAGCGCACCAGTCTTTGTTTTTTTCGCAAATTTCATTTGTTGTGGACACTTCCTCCATATCAAATGTAGTAAGAGTTTCAACATCAGCTCCCATTGGTAGTACTGCACCATCCGGCTCACCAGGTGTGCGATATTGATGAAGTTTTAGGATATGTCCCGCAATATTATTATCCTGTTTTTGATCATGCTAAAAAACAATTCGAATTATTTTCAATTTTCAATTCCTCATACAGATAAGTTATCAAATTATAGTTGAAATTTTTTTATATCGTTGAAATAAAAATGACAATTGTTAGATAACTAATATTCAAAGCTAATAGCAATGATATCAATACTAGAAGAATTTCATGCTTTATATTTATTTAAACAACTTACTTAATATACTATAATATGTTACAAAGAGCGATCTTGTCATGATAGCAACGACAATGGTATATAGCCCAGAAACTCAGAAAGAGATATTATGGTATACTAATCAGAAATGATCTGGTTAAAAACTGGACTAGAGAGAATTACGTGAAAAATAGTATTATTTCGATGATTGATGTTTGGTCATATTCGTAATGAAATACCGATCACCGAAATAAACGGAACTTTTGTCACTATCAACTAAAAGCATGCACTGCACTAAAACAATCGGACTCAAATGATTAGACTGATATCGATGTAATTAAAATTTCCACGAATTTTACAAAAACTCTCATAAAACTGTTTTGGAACAAGATTTTACCTCATCCATGAGTACGAATATAAGATCAAAACGTGACAACAATGAATCCTGCATGCCAATATTTTCCATGGGTGTTTTGAATAAATCATACTGTAAAATATTTTGGTCTACATAATGAGAAAATCCAAAAGAACATCACACAAATAAGAATGGTAAAAACAGTGGAAAAGACTTATAGTTTCATATTTACCCTTCCAAACACTGGATTTGCAGCAGCAAGAACAGAACATCTTGCATTCAATTTTGCATGAATTCCAGCTTTAGCAATTGTTACTCGTCCCTGTTCCATCACTTCATGTATTGCTGTCCGATCAATGTCAGACATCTGAAATTTATTACAGCTTTTTTATCATCAGCATCAAAACGCTGAAAAATAAAAACTGGTGCAAAATTCAGAAAAAAAGCTGTAATAAAAAAAGATAAGAAATATCTTAATTAATAAATGAGACGAACAAAGTTTCAAAACTCCCAAAGAAAACTAAGATGTCGCAAAAAATGAGTCATTCAGTTTGATCACCTTGTCAAACTCATCAATGCAAACGATCCCTCTATCAGCCAAAACCATTGCGCCAGCTTCGAGACGACGTTCGCCAGAATCAATGTCAGTCGTTACTGCTGCCGTCAAACCCACGCCACTTGAGCCACGTCCAGTAGTTGCTACAGCGCGTGGTGCGGTATGCAATACATATCTTAAACAGATACTGGTATTTTGGAAATCTATTAACAGTTTTACGGAACTCTCGTAATTCGAGTTTATTGAAAGTTCAAAATTTGTTCGAAAACTCAAATTTGTTATACTGTTCTGCATATTTGCGTTGATTTATTTTACAAAGTGAAATATTTGAAAAAAACAATTGTGGAAGAATTCGTATGAATAGTGATATAATAGTTCACCTAGTTTCGAATTGACTTCCAATATTTTTACACAATTGACAAGTACTGTGATTGTTACCTTAACAGCTGACTTTTTGCCACTGATGGATCACCAATCAAAAGTATATTAATATCTCCTCTAATATGTGAACCATTCTGTAGAATTTTTTCGTTTCCACCAAGTAGAAGACAAAGTATTGCTTTCTTCACTTCATCATGCCCCCAAATCGATGGCGCTAACGATCTTGCCAACGTATCAAATATATTCGTGAAAAAAGAAAAAAAAATAGCAAACTTTGAGGTTCGAAATTATTTGAAAGGACATAAAATACAATTTTCAAAAAACTTCACAAAAGTGGTATATATATATAATCATATTCCAACCTTTTGTCGGCTCATTTTCCGAATATTTTTAATATCGTCTGGCAAAAAATTTGGCTGCATCTCCTTGCTTAATAACTGTATATTATTGGAAATAATAATCGACCTGCAAAATATGTCACTTTGATAAAATATCTCATTTTAAGTTGTAAATATTACAACTACATTGTATTTCAACTTTAAAGAACAATTTATACTAATCAATTCTCCTGGTGCTAACTTTTTGAATGAATTACCTTATGAGCCTCTTTCTACTATAAGTTCTGCTTCATATGATTTTTTACTATCATTTTACGATAGAAAGGACGAATTTTTTAGTTTATTGAAATGTACTTCGCAATAAAGTGAAAAATAGAACAGATTTAAACAAGAATTTCCAAATACGGAATACCACTGAATAATACACCTATCTTCTGCACTTAATACAAATAAATTAAGGCCATAATAAAGCCTGCATCATTGGCACGTGATCATGATCGGAAGAGCCATTATCAATGGAACCTTTTGATTGAATTGTGCTTATATTTCAATCTAATCAGACGAAAACTTTTTCTATTAGACTTGCTACTCATTGATTGATACTCCAACAAAAGCAGTCATTTAAAATCTCAAGACAAAAGTTATACGGACCAAATGGTTTGAAATAAAAATTCGATTTGTACTTATATATAATTTTGTATTTTTTTTAAAGACTCTCTAGGTTTTTCTTTGAGACTTTCTAGCTATTTTTAAACTCTCTAGCTTATATACATTAGATAAAGTAAGACATGTCAAACAATAACTTAATCGAAAACACATAACACCATAAGTATATGAGGGCATACTAAAGGAAAGAAACTTCATTACAAATAAAAGGATCCTCCGTTGGGAAAGTATGCTTCATCAAATTATTCAAAGTAAATTTCGTCACCAGGTACAGAGCTAAACTACATTAATCTACCAGTTATTAAAAAGTCATTTCTGTAAGCACTTATAAGACAAAAAGAAGACTAAATTAAAACAAAAAAATCAAGATAGAGAAACCGAGAAAGCAGTAAGAACAAAACGTCACTATAATAAAATTTATCTTAAAATGCATACTGTTTTCCTTAATATTATTATGACCAAATAAATTTCTCAACAATTACCATTTTCATTTAGTTTTTCTTATCACATACCTGAAACTGCCACTGGTATAACCATTTTGTTTGTTTGGTAAACACCTGTACAAACCTATAACGCGGACACGATCGCCCGGCTTACAGCTATCGGCTAAATCATCATCAGCCACAACATCTATTGAACGTGGCAGTTGTCCTGGTGGCGCATACTCCGGTAATTCCTAAGTAGAAGACTATGGATATTCAGGTTTTGAATGCTAGTTTGGAAAAGTTATATTTCCATCAAGTAAGTAAATCATTTGGTTATAATTTTTATCCTTTTCCGCCAGTACTAAATCTATGTGATCTATTTCAATTAAGGAAAATTAATTTATTCAACAAACAGCAGCGTAAGCATAACGTCAGATCTTTGTGTAAAAAATTCGATAAAAAAGCGTAGTTTTAGAAAAAGCAAACAATTAGTAGTTTCAAAATGTACTTGCATAGAAAATGTTTGATGGTCTCGATAAGTACTTAAGCCATACTCGGTTTCAAGTGGATTTTTATTCTCATCCTGAAAAAAGAAACAAAAAATAAAAAGATAATGAGTAACATAAAATCATCTATTGCTGGTATAACAAAGTCGTTTGCTAACACGTACCTCCGTAGGATAAACATTGCTGCATGGGAAGGTATCATATGATGTTAAATCAGTGTAACGACGCTCAAATGTCTTTTTAGTTGCAGGACAGTAGTGTACGCTACGAACTACTTTCGGTCGTAATGCAGAACCTATAAAAGTCATTTTAACATTTTTAATTTAAACAGTGTATAATTGATCACTTCACTCAAAGGTTTATCCATGCGTGCTACTAAGATCGAGAGTTTTCCACAACATTAACTGAAACTTTTCCCATAACTTATTCCTTGTTGATGAAGAATAACATTATTCAAGCTAATACGCATTATTTTCCATCTTCTAGGTCATAAAGTAGAAAAATGAAATTTTCTGCTTTTTTACATCAATGTCAGCGTTGAACGTCAACGTGAACAACATGGTTGATGAGAAGTTATTATTTGCACAACCCCTTAGTTCAATGATACCCTAAGGTTGTTATAGGTTCCCTTTTACAAAAATTTATATTAGTATTTAAGCCTACCTTTCGCAGTTCCTTTTAGATTAATTTCCTAAATTTATTATTTGATGTAACTAATCCTTAAAAATACTTCATTTTCTAATGGAATATAATCTGAAACATCTTACATTTGGTGACGATACCTTCACAGCAAACCATACTGCCAAGAAACTGTGATTTCAATGTTCGAGGATTTACATGTCGATCACCAAAGCTTCCTTCAAAACCAACACTGAAATCTCGCATCTTCCCGTATTCGGGATCTAATCGGCTTACATAGTCCTTCATCGCCTGTTGCAGACACAGAATTTCGGGTACAAAATTTCGTAGTAGCCTAAATTTCAAATAAAATTATAGTTTATCAAAATTCAACCAACAAAGTGTAAACTCCAAATAGTTGACACTTTGTTGGTTGAATTTTGATAAATTCTAATTAGCTTACCTGATAAGAAGTAAGGATAAGAGAAACAACATCATCACAATTCGATCTACTAAGGCGTTTAAAGATCAGATGGTTTTGGACTGTAAAACAATACTTAAACAGAAAGAAAAAAGAATAAACTGACCCATTAACTCGTTGCGGAAGCTTTTTTCGAAGTTCATTCAGGTTCACGATGATTCGTGATCCATTCTCCTTGATCATATCTTCGCATTTTTGCATATAAATTTTATCATCACCCTTGAACACATAAGCAAAAGTTTAATTCCAGTAATCATTTAGTCGAAAATCATATGTTTATGTCTTCTCAATTACTACATTAGCGTAAATCCTCACGAGCAATCCTACAACTATTGAAAGATGAAAAAGTAACTATAAGCAAATGCAAATAAATGTCACGTATCTCTTGCAGACTTACAAAACTAAAAATAAAAAGAATTATAACAAAACATACGGAATCATCCAAGAAGTTCAGATACTCCAATGTGATCTCACGTACAAGATTCTCATCTTCATGACTGATTAAATCCATATTATGTAAATGGCTTTAGAATGTTTCTATTCTGGGAAAATTCCTGCAAATTTAACATTTTAGGTATTTTTATTGAGGTTCTCATTTTCATGCGTGTTCATTTTAAGAAGGCCGTTTTTACTTTATATTCTCTTATTTTTATTCAGCTATGAAACAGAGAGCAAAAATTCACAGAAAATATTTGGTCAAAAGATTTCACCGATTTCCAAATCTAAAATTTCGGATCCGCTCCAAAATTTCAGAAATTTCAAAACCCCGTCATTTTATAATTAAATGCATTGATGCACTCAAATACTAAAACCCAAAGAACTGCTAAGTAATCATTATCGATAAGAACCGAATAAACAACTGATGTCACGTTACAAACTTTACAATATTTGAATATTTTATCTGTACGAATGTTCCTAATTGATAGCATCTGAATATTAATTATAAACGAAGCGTTGGTACTTGAATACTTAATGAAAAATACATTACCGCATTTCACAAACTATATTCTGAACCACCAGAATATAATAATTTTTGGTTTGAATTTTCAATAATTTTACGCGCCGAAAATTCAAATTTGTACCCAACATGAAATAACTGCAGCTCGATGCAATTGATTACTTAAGAAAATGATAATGTATGTAACGGAAACTCAGTTGAAAAAGTTATAGTTCAATTAAGGAGAAAATACAGACGAAAAATTTTATGTGATATGTATGCATGCTTATCAAATGTAATTAATAATGGTTATAAATTTATATTAAAATGTTACTTATACATTCTACACATCCTTGATCGTTTAGAAAAAATGAAAAATTCAGTAATATTTTTTTTTGCAAAATTTTTTACTCGAAAAGTTTTTCACGGTAAAACAAATAAAGCTTTCTAGCTTCTTGCATTGAAATTGCGAAAATTCAATTTGAACTTCACAAAAATCAAAAAGACTATTGTATGAAAACTTTCCTTTAAATAATTCTTCCATTTGAATTCTTAGTTGAATTTCATTTCCTATTCCATTGAAAAATCAGAAATGTAAAGAAATCGATCGTAAAAATAACAATTACTTCAACGTTTTGAAAAAATTTGCAATAAAAAACCGCTTCAGGACAATGCGTAGCACAACGCTCCATAAGACTCCAGCACCGGCCGCGTAACTTATCTGGCCTATCAAGAAACAGGCGGTCTTGGCTTTCGGTGGGTTGTGGGAGGGCGAGGTTTCTGTTACGTGGGAAGGGGAGACTCGGTCTGAGGTAGCCTAATGGTAATTGCTGTAAGTTAGGCAGGGAGGAAATCAAGTCAGTTTTGGATTATGCGATTTTTTCTGAAGTCCGAAAAAAATTCCAGAGAATAGTTTGATTATATGACAATGATATTAGAAGTTGTAAATTACATTTCATTTTTTCTTCGGAAGAATTCATTCTTGAATTTGGTAGATAATTGTCGATTCCAAAATTGTTAGCTTTTCATATCCAAAATTACTGTTGCTAAATTCATGAGATGTGGCCAAATCGGTAAAAAACGTGAACATAATGTGTTTATTTTTTGAAGGTATCAAATTATTTGCTGATGGGTATATCACGTGATAATTGGCATAAACGACGTGCTACTGGCGGAAAGAGATGCCCGCCACACAAGAAGAGGAAGTTCGAGCTCGGACGTCCAGCGTCAAATACAAAAGTCAATTCATTGATTTTTTTTGGGGGAGGGGGAGAGGAGGAGAGAGTTTATATGTCTTTCTAGTATATTGTATATAACTGCATATGGTATATAACCATTTAAAATTAGAATAGTATTGTGAAATTCAATGGAAAAAATTTATAAAAGTTTGCATGATATGTATTTTCAAACTTTACTTTTGAGGTTCGTATTTTTATTGTGAAAGAATAAAGAGTTGAAACTGCTAATGATATTCCCTCGCTTAGTGGACATATTTTATGAAAGAACTATATTTTGAAGATTGGTCCAAAAAGAATCCATCTTGTTCGTTGCCGCGGTGGAAATATCAAACATCGTGCATTGAGACTTGATGCTGGCACATTTTCGTGGGGATCAGAAGGTTCTTTTATGTTTTACTATTTAAGTTTCTTTTTTTTCTGTATTTATAATCAGTAGTTGGAAGCATGCCACTAGTGAGGTACTCATGCTCATACGCAAAGGTGAAGTGGTTTTGTTGTCCAACCTATTTCCTTGCACTTGCCAAACTACGCACTTCGAATACCTGTCGAGAAGATAGCTAAAATATACTTCATAATTTACAGGTTGCACACGTAAAACACGTATCGTAGATACCGTATATAACGCATCCAATAATGAATTAGTACGTACTAAAACACTAGTGAAAAATTCGATAATTATTATTGATGCCGTCCCATTCCGTCAGTGGTATGAAGCACACTATGCCGTTCCGTTAGCACGTAAAAAAGGTGCCAAACTGACAGATGAGGAAGAAGCACGGATTAACAAAAAGCGCTCAAAGAAAGTGCAAGCAAAATACACAGAACGGCAGAAATTTGCTGAGGTTGAGCCACATCTTATCGAACAGTTCCAAAGCGGTCGATTGTTAGGTTTGTCTTTTTCATCACTCATTTTTGAATTCAAGTTAAGAAATGATGAAAGATAAATAATGCAAAAAAGAGGAGGAACTGTATTGTTTAGTTAATTTTCTAATTTGAATTGTATTATCTTCAGTGGAAATAATATACAATAGCTTGCTTTTTTTTTACTTTAATAGATCTTAATAACGGGTTACAATTACAAGTAGAATGTTAATAATTAGGTAGTTGAAGAGTTAAAGATCACATAGTTTTTTTTTAATGGTTTTATTTGTCGAGAAATCGTCATGATTAGTTCCGGTTTTGTGACCAGCCAATAGTAAAATGTGATGATTACGGTTTACGACGGAAGGTCTTGTAAGTTCAGTTTCTAACTGATGTCCTTCAGATGTTGCCAATCGAGAACAGAGTCACAGTGTAGGCCAACTGTCTGTCTCTGTGCTAAGTGTCTCGGAAATTATATCAACCTTCAGATGCAGGTTGTCCTATTATTCTTCTGGACGACCCCACCGTAGGTCAGAACAAGAATTAATTTTGAGTGGTATTTGAATTTGTTTTCACAAATTTTTTCAGCTTGTATCAGTTCTCGTCCGGGTCAGGTTGGCCGAGCTGATGGCTATATATTAGAAGGCAAAGAGCTTGAGTTCTACTTGCGTAAAATTCGAGCTAAGAAAGCAAAGTAATGAACACTGTTTATTCGATAAGCGTTGACAACTGTTTGTTATGCTTTTCTTATTAGTTTCACTGTTATTGTCAGATAAATACATTGCATTATTTTTCTGTGTTGACAATTATAAAACTTTAAAACGAACGAACTAGGGAAAGATCGAATTGTTCAACATATTATGGGAAAAAAGCATGTTTTCTAGCTATATCATCTTGTTTTTGAATTGTGCTGGTAGTCGCGTACTATTCAAAAAGATAAACCATTTCTGCTTCCTGCTTGCACTGTTTCCTGTCCAGATCCCTTAAAAACAGTTGATTTGATGCTGTCGAGAGGAATTTCGAAATGATACTTATGGATGTTTTGAGTAATATTTTTAGGATTGAAACAGTCTTCCATCATACATGAACTGTTTTTTTGTTAGGAAATTTGGTTTCGATAAAAGTTCATTAGTAAGTTACTTTATGCCTGTTTAACAGTGCTTATAGAATAAATTGATAATCAAATCATATGTAACGAATCATTACATGGTTGTCTACTGTTAGCATCTCTGGTTCATACTACTAACCATATTTTTTCTATTGTATAAAGAAACGAACAGAAGCGAAATTTTCTCGTACGCTGAGAAAATTAGTGGAAAGGAAACAAAAATTTGCAATATGAGAAAAATAGTTTCTTGCATTATTCTTTTCCATGTACTCATATAACTTTCTATTATAAACATAATTTGAAGCATCAAAGAACTAAAAGAAATAAACGATTAATGCTCATTAAGTGATTTGTTTTAAGCAGTAAAATTTGATTTTTTCATAATATTAAAAAGATGATATGATGATGAATAAAGAATCGTTTCTCTTTTTTCACCACTCTTTCATTTATGTAAAATTCAAAAAAAAATTCAACTCTGACCAAAGACTTCTCCATCTTCTTTTCACTTTTTTCTCTGATAAATTTATATATGTGTTTATCAATCGAAAACTTTTAATCCGTCAATTTTTATTTTTCATATTTTTATATCTTTGTTTTCCTTTTTCTTTTTTTTATTCTAATCCTTAATAGTTTTTTCTTTTCCTATTTTTTGATGGACATTTATTGTTGCTGATGTGAATTTCACAGACTATCATGAAATATAGAAATGAAGAACAAGAACGGAAGACAGATGAAAGAGTTGGGAACGATGGATGATTAATTAACTTTGTTTGATTAAACTGGTTTAGTTTCTAAAGGTTTGATTTTATTCATCAAACATAATCATTATTTTTTCTTTTATTGATCATTGATGCTTCTTATCTGATATAATCCTGTATGACATCATATAACATAATACAAATAATGATAATCATTAGCAATTATTAATATATAAAACTAAATTATCAAATTCTCATCATTGCTTTCGTTCCTACTAAAATATATCGATCGTATTTATTAATTGATTCCTTTAATTTGATGCTTTTTTTTAAATTTTTCACGTAACAACTGAAAAAAGTTTTACTGCTTACAGTTGGAAGTAAGGACCACACATGCGACAATTTTTTATTAATAAATGAAATATATTTAATCATATTCGTAATTAAGTACTTTTAATATTTTTATTTAATAATAATTAGTCGAAATCTGATGATTATAAAAGAACAACGTTGAATTTTGATAAAATTTTATAGCCGAAACATTTTTGTTCAATAATAAACGAATACAATTTTTTTATTAACTTTATTTCTTGTCGTTTGATAGGAAAAGACGGTAAAAATGTTTGCTTTGTGTCGCAATATTGTTTTATGCTAATAAAAATCAGCTAATTCAGGTAATTACTGGTCTTATGTAAAAAAATGAATTAAATAAGACGATTTACTCGGTAATCCTATGAATCATTTTCCCAACTGAAATCTTGTAGGAACATTTTATATTTGACACTAATCATTAAAATTATCAAAATTTGTTAACTGATCAAAGCAACAGAAAAAAAAACTTAAAACTTCAAAACCTCCTAGTAACATTGTTTCTTCGCTCACCAAAGATTACATTGTTAAAATTTTTTAGTGATTACTGATTTTTTTTTAACTTTTATTAGTCACTAATCGTTTGTTAGAAACGATTAATAATTTGATTAATTATATAAATTGTCAAATTGTTCATTCATATTTTGCAAATTTATTGAATTAACGAATTATATATTGCGGTATTTGAACCATTGCACATGTAAATAAAACAATATTAACAAAAATACAGCTAAATTAAATCATTTGAAAGCTAATCAAATGATACCTATTTAATGATGAATGAATGATGAAAAGTTTTAATCAATGAATTAAATTTTATAATATTAAAATACGAAATTATTTATTATCAAATTTCATTATCAGCTATTGATCTCCTTGATCTCTTCATATTATAAAATAATAGAATGTCATGATACTATACAGCGTAAAGAAAAGATATTTATATAATCATTGAGAATTGTTTCAAGAAAAATAACATTTGCAAAATAAAAAATCATATAAAAGTTATAGAATTTTTATTCTTATTTTAGATAATTTTGCTGTCGGAAAAATTATTCAAATTTTAATAACGAAGAAACAGGAGGAGAATGAATTATAAAACAAATTTCAAGACACTGATTATAATATTGGTAAAGCAGTATGAATATAATAGGTCATCACACGGATCACGTAACCGTAGTACGTCGTGGTGGACATGAACAATAGGATCCATCAGTTCCCGGTACTCCTGGTGGACCCACTGGACCGCCAAAACCTGCTGGACCATCTGGTCCTTGTTCACCTGGTGGTCCAGGTGGTCCTATTGTTCCGGCAAAGCCTTGATTTCCATCATTTCCATCCGGACCTGGAAATCCTGGAGGTCCAAGTGGTCCTTTGGGTCCCGGTGGTCCTGGTTCTCCTTTGGAACCTCGTGTGCCACTTCTTCCTGGTGCTCCCGGTGCACCATTTTTGCCGTTCGCACCAGGTTCACCTGAATGTACAATTGATGATAAACTTCGAATACAATTTTATTACATTACATCAAAGTTTATCTCACTTTTTTTTTTCCAAAAATATAAGTATGATTGCATACCTGCTGGTCCAGGATTTCCAGGTTGACCTTCAAATCCTGGTTCACCCCGGTATCCAGGTGGCCCCGGTGGACCATTTTCTCCGACTTCTCCAGGTGGACCTGGTTGACCTGAAATTTGATATATATTATAGCATAAATGAGTATTTCAAATTTCATTCGAAGAAACACAATATCAGTTGGTGCAAAATTAAAAGTTGACAACAAGAGAAATTATAAATACCTGGAAAACCTTGAGGACCACGTGGACAAATACGACAGTTAGCTTTGATATCCACATTTACGGCTGGGTAATTGCCAGGTAATCCTGGTGGTCCTGGTGGTCCAGGTTCTCCAACAATACCATCCATTCCTGGTTCACCTGGTGGACCAGGTTCACCTGGAGGACATGTTGTTGTAGCATCACAGCCTAAAATTATCACTGGGAATTATGTTCAAAAGGACGGGAAATTTTTATTTAAGAAATGATGAAATACCATTTTCCATATAATTAATACTAATTAATTTGAAAATAAAAATTTCGTACACTTTTCCAATAGTTTTGTTTTTCTTTCCACTATAAATTATTTAAATTTTGCTAAAAAAAAAACCAATTTTTCTTTCATTTTTAAATGAAAAAAAAAAAAATTACGGCATTGCCCTGGTAGTGCTAAGCCACGTTTCTCTCGATATGCGGCAAAAGGTGAAGCGCTAAGTGCAATACTTTGACCCCTTGCTTGGAAATAAATTTGATTTTGCAATCCACGAAATTCTTCCATATCCTGGAAATTTTCAACTTAATAAATTTGATCACTATGAAATGCTGATGATTATTAAGAAATTATAACAAAATGTTACTAACGCTTATCCAAAATCAACAAACTTAAGAAATTGTTTTGCTTTCATTCATTTTTTTTTCTTTAAAATCATTCAGCAATTATTTATGATTATTTTTGATGATTTATTCTGGAAATATTAAAGTGAATTGGTGTTAATTAACTCGAATTGCATCATTAATTTGTTTGATTTTGATAATTTCTGACTTTGTTCCTACCTCATAAATTTTTTTAGCATTTGTCGTTACTAATATTATTTTTAATAAACAGAACTAATCTGAATTATTGAAATAAAACTGGTAATCATTCATCCGAATTTTTCAATAATCCTATTTTTGAATTTTTTTTTTTAATGACATAAATTTGCAAAAGTTCGACATGTTCATGTAAATTGGTTAGAAAAAAAAACTGCAATGAATGAATTATTAATTTGTGAACGAATTTTTTTGACATCCGATTATTTTTTAACCAGCAAATATGAATATGATGTTTCAAAAGAAAAAGAAAAAAGAAAAAAAAAAGCCACCTAATATTTCCTTTTAAGTAACCGAAGGAATTTGATTATTTAAAAGAAAACAAATTGAAATTTTTGATTAAATTTTGAATATCAAAAAATTCATCAAGAAATTAATGATAATTAAGCATTATTTTTGAAAATAATACAATTTATAAATGATATACAAATTTATATAGGAATATAAGAATACGTATAATGTGTAAAAAATTTTCCAATTTATAATTGTAATTTATGGTTTCATGATATTATTTGCATCATTTTCACCAATTTTTCTCCAATTTTTACAATTATATTATATTGAAATATTTAAATATTATAATACACGTTCCATTTGCAATCATAATAAATTTTTTATTTTCTTTTCTATTACAAATTTTTAAAATATTTGATTTTAAAATATTCAAATTACATGTACCAATTCGAGGTCGTATCGAATTTCCGTGATCTTATTGTATAAGGTAGGAAGGAAAATCAGGCATGCTACCAATGCACATATGCTAAGTCCTACAGCAGAATAAGCGGCTAAATGCGCCGACATAATTGTCAGCCTGAAATTACGTTGAAAGATAATGGAAGAAGAAAATAATAACAATTTGTAAATATCATCCATAAAGAAAGTATGAAGTAAAAATTATTCAAGTATCCTCTTATGTTTTCATGTCGAAAACAAAATCATTTTTTTTTTTTTTTGAAAGAAATACATCACAAACTTATCAGAAAATAAAAAATAAAAATTAAAAAGTTAAAAATGCAAAAAAAAAAAACACGATCCAATTACCATATGAAATATTTCTAAAAAAAAAAAACCGTTAGTATTACTATTGTAAATTAACAAAATAGCAATGATGAATTGAATAATTGTGTGATCACTGATGATGCGTATATATATGTAAATGTGTACAAAAGACATAAAGAGAAAAAAAGATGAAAAGAAAAAAATTTTTTTTTTTAAATTAATTATTGGCATTTCTATTTTTGAAGGAAAAAGAAAAGAAATTGTTGCCAATATACACGTAAACAACAAAACGTCAGGTTTAAAAATTTTGTAATTATCGAAATGATTTTTTTTTAAAAATAAATGTTATCCAATTTCTTTTTTATTCCCTTTTTTTTTTGTTTATTTGCTCTGAAATTTATTGTATGTTAGAATGAAATTTTGTGTTTGAAAATACAAGAATGTTGAATGAAATTAAAATTAAAGTACATTTTGCTTTGTTTTTTTTTTTGCATTAATATTTCAAAGCGAAATGCCTGTAAGAAATAAAAAAAAAAATTTATTGTTCCGGTTGAAAAAAAAAATTTCAAAAAATAATTTTTCTCCGTTTACACATTGTTTATGTTTTATTTATTATTGTTTCTGAAAATTATAACTTTTTTTGTATTTATCACTTTGAACTCACAATTTTTTTATTTTGCCCTTTCTTTCTCGTTCTTTTTTCCTTTTTACTTCAAATTGGTTAAAATATTTTCTTACCCAAATTTTTTCCTTTAAACTGAAGAAAAAGAAACGTTACGAATGAAATTTTGTTACCGCGAAAAAAAAAAGGAAATCTTAGCTTTTTGTTAATAATTTTATTCACCTAAACTTTCCAATGCTTTTTTACCTCCTTTTGCATATGAATTTTTGATGGTTAATTAAAAACTTATAGTTAAAGCTTAAAATAATAAAATTATTTAGCTCATATATGATAAATGTCATATGCATTTTTGATACATAAAATTAATTCAGCCAGATTAGAGGATTGGAAGCTTTTTGCTAAATTAACTAACAATTACTTACTTTTTTCGGATGAAAAAAGTAAACTTGAAGATGCAACAAATTAATGATACCTGCACAATTGTTTTCAATTAATTAGTATTTGATGAATTTAAGTCTAATTAAAAAAAACACGAAGGTTATGTATAATTCAACAAAACAAAATAGCTGGCTTATTTTATCAACAGAGTACGAATATAATATATCCGTAAACGAATATAATATATAAATATAATATAATATAATATATCCGTAAAAGATGATTGCAGATTATTTCAATTTCACGATAACATTACAGTATAAATTCGCCGGGATGCAATATTTTTATTATAGAAGCGCAAGAACGCTAATTTCCGTAAGTGGTAAGCTTACTAAGACGTACGTCAATATAACTATCAATGAAATCAGAGAAAATTAAATTTTATAAGATTTAGAATAGCAGTATATATACATATCATTATCGCCGAAGGAAATGCAAATTTTTATGGTAGAAAAAAAAGTAATTACAAATTACGTAGCAAATAAATATTAGTATTTGCTGTCAATATCGAGATAATTTCAGTGAAAAAAAATAAACTGTCCCAATTCAACATATAGAAACTTTTAAATTCCCATTCATTGAACAAATTACACTAATTTACTCTAATGCTTAATTAATCAAGCTAATCAAAAATTAATGATGATGAATTTTCCAAAAAAAAAACAAATCACATTTCTTCAACTTGTTAATCATAACAATTGATATAACAAAAGCAATAAATGATCGTCGTTATTTCTTGAAAAAACTACAAATCGTAATTTGAAAGGGTAATTAACTGTGAAATCATATTACTAAATTTAAGAAATAATCATTAAGCAGTTGAATTATTTAATGTTTTTAAAAAAACAGAAAAAGTTGATTACATTTTCTTACATCATTGAAAATGATAGAATGGAATACTTCAGCATGGGCTATTATCGGATATCCGGCATTTGTTTAATTTTATCCCAATTTTAAGAGGAGCGCAAATTCATCAAACACTTAATGTTTAGAGAGTGTCCGGGATGAGATTCCTTTCCTTTCCCTTCCTTCCGTTGTTAAAATCTTCATTTAAATCGTTCAAAATGAGTGAATCCATCAAGCATTGGAATAAATTATGTTGACAAATATTTATTTTGTTTATTAATTAGGAATGATTAGAATTTCTCGATGAATATAAATCTTTTGCATAAATTTTAATAACATAATCAATTTTACATTAAATGTTAAATTATTCAATTATTCCAAATCAATTTAATATTAAATTGAAATAACCAGTTAAACTTCATCAATTCTTTATTATCTCATAACTTCGTTCATTGTTCTCATTTTAGTTATGGTAATTCTTTGATTAAATAAAATCAAATCAATCAATATTAAGAGTGATGATTGATGATAAATGTATCACACGCTAATTTATATATATATAATATCTTACATTTTCAATCATTGGTAATTTTATTTAAACTCTATCCGTTAACAATGATGCAAAAAATGGCTTAAAACATTATACCATATCAACCGGCGATTTCCAATTTAATTTTTAAGCATTAACTAAACAAATACTTAATTAATTGATGTCATTGGAAAAATTATAATAATATTAAAATAGATGGAGTGAATCATAGTTTAACAAATTCTCTTTCAATGGATAACACTGATACAAAGTTAAAAAAAATTTTTTAAAAATCTGAAATTAAGTTTTGTTGAATGCAAAATTGCTTTGAATTTCAAAAAAAAAAATAACGATTTTGAGCTATTTTTGTATTTCATACAATTAATGAAGGAATCAATTAATTAAAATGTTGGAAAAAAAGAAACAAATTGGCAAATTGCTCCTTAAATACTTTAATTCTAACTGAGAATTAATATATTTATACATATTTTACATGAAAAAAAAATTCATCAAGTGAAAAGTATCCGAATCATTATTTAGTAATGTAGTTGAACCAGTTTTCGTATAAATGATTTCTGTAATCAAATTAATTTTAGTTTGAAAGAAAAAAGATTGCCCGAGGGTAAAACGACATGTAAATTGTTCACTTTATCTTATCCTTAGCCCATATCACCATTTGTTTCCATTCGACACAGGTCATCTAAAAAAAAATGCAAGGAAAAAATTTCCAGGAAAAATAAATGGAAAAAAAAATTGTAAGAAATAGACAAATGAAAAAAAAAAACAGAGCAATTAGCATTTTTTTTATTAAATAAAGTTCGGTACAAATTTTCTAAAGTATAATGCTTATCAGATTCAATCTTATTTGAAGCCATTTTCTTTTCCATATATTTAAAATTAGATCTGAAGAAAAAAAAAAACGAAAAAATACTTTTAGGAATAAACTTTTCTGTGTTCATTCTACTATGTGAAAGTAAATTGCTTAAGGTGCAATGCGATTATTTTCAAAATTAATGTAAAAAAATGATTGGATTCTAAATTATCTACAATTAGTACAATTTTACTGCCATAATTAAACTTAATTATATAATCATTTAATTGCACTATAACTGATTTGAAAAAAAAAAAAATTTGCAAAATGGACATCACAATTTATATGGTAAATATATTTCATCGTCAACATACGGAATTTAATTAGAAACTGATTGATCAGTTCAGTGCTTGAATTAAAAGTGTTCCCCTTTTTCTTTAAAAAAAAAAAAAGATTATCTTCAATTTAAGTTAATTTAATAAAAAACACTCCAAGGTATGCTATTTCAGGTAGCCTAAAATAATCATAAGGGCTCATCTATTTAACAAATAAATCGATCAGTGTGAAATAGAAAAAAAATATCCAAAATGCTTATCTTTTATATGCATAATGATAATAATTTATTCAATCAAAGTTTTTTATTTCTCACAACTTCAATAATATGTCCTTAAATAGAACAAATACAATAATATATCCGTAAATTTCCTAAAACTTTTTCTTTAAACAAAAAAAAATAATTAAAATAAAACATGCAAAATTCTTATTGACTGTTAATTTAATTGATTTAAAAAAAAAAAAGAAGAAAATATATAAAAATAAATAAAATAGGAAAAGATTACATGAACAAAGAATAATAACAAAGGAAGTATAATGAATGAATGTGATGAAATTTACAAATTGAAATATTGATGTCTTAGAATGACACCATTTTTTTGTTCTGCTTTTGTTAACTTTTCTTTCATTATACCACATTATTCATCACTATCGTATTTTAATAAATATATAAACACGAAAACACTAACAGTAACAATAAATACCAATAATTGCAATTTTTATTTTACAATGATGTGGTACTGATAACAATATCAACACTTAATAAGGGCAAAAATGATAAGAGGTAAGTATGCATTATGAACATTTTCAAACATACTATAATACACTTACGAATTACAAAACATACTATAATGCATTAAGAATTTACACATAACACTATAAATATGAAAAGAATAACATTAAAACAAAAACAATAACAACAAAAACAATAACAACAAAAACAATAACAACAAAAACAATAGCAACAAGAAGAACAACAGCAAAAACAACAACAACAAAAACAATAACAACAAAAACAATAGCAACAAGAAGAACAACAGCAAAAACAACAACAACAAAAACAATAACAACAAAAACAATAGCAACAAGAAGAACAACAGCAAAAACAACAACAATAGCAACAACAATAACAGCGTAAGGATAAAAGAAGTGGAACATATTTCTTTCCTTTTCTCCCTTTTATTTCTTGAGCACAGGGTGGACAGCGAAATATTAAAAAATAA